CAATGTTCTCCATCAATCAGGAGCAGAAACTTTTTCTCGTGCATTATGCCAAAGTTCATTTGAAAATAAACTGTTATTGATCACAGGAAAAACATCTTCGTGGACTCTGTTCTCCTTGTAGTGCTGAAGGGCTTACAACCACAATTTACTTAACAGATATTCCTTAGCTCAGTAGCCCCCTTGCACCGCGCTTATTATATTTTCATGACTTATAGCAAATGGTTAAGTTGGGATGCTTTTAATGGAAAAAACACTTCGTAAGCCAAAAACACCTCCTCGTACATCTTATTCTTCTAATACAAAAGTTTTGTCCTCATTGCGTGTGCTCTCCTTGTAATTAGTGAAGGTTTACAACATTTTCCTAACGGTTTCTCTGTAAATGAGTAGTAGAAGTATTACCTTGCAGATTTTGTTCTCCTGTTTCAAAAGTTTTGCAACGTTTTCCTTGGGCATAGAAGGAAACCTAGCAATGGATTATATTTATAACTAGTGAATCTTTACAATATTCTCCTTTAATCAGAAGCAGAAACACTTCGTCGCACATTCTATTCTCCTGATACAAAAGTTTAAATGACAATATGGTGTCTAATCGAAAAAGTACGAATTGTTTTGGATTCTACGCCCCAAAATTAATAAGAAAAAGTATTTTCCCGAGAAATTTTGGTGTAGTCGATTTAAAAAAAATAATAAAGGTTATACACTGCCTTTTTTTGAGCCCCGAAAAAAAAATTGTCTCAGATCGACCGGGAAAAAAATTTTCTTATAGAATGTGCCCTGTAGAATCCATAATTTCAAACAGTTCTAAGATTGGGCTACTAGTTCAAAAGTTACAGCCCTTTGAATTTTCTTTCGAAATTGGTTTCTAATCCATAACTTTGATTGAGAAGTCCGATCGAAAAAGTACGAATTGTTTTGGATTCTACGCATCAAAATTAATAAGAGAAAGTGTTTTCCTGAGAAATTTTGGTGCAGTCGATTTTTGGTAAAAAAGGAAGGTAATACACTGCCTTTTTTTGAGCCACGAGAGAAAAATTGTCTCAGATCGACCCGGAAAAAAATTTTCTAATAGAATGTGGCTTGTAGAATCCATAATTTCAAACAGTTCCAAGATTGGGCTACTAGTTCAAAAGTTATAGTCCTTTGAATTTTCTTTCGAAATTGGTTTCTAGTCCATAACTTTTGATTGAGAAGTCCGATCGAAAAAGTACGAATTGTTTTGGAATCTACGCACCAAAATTAATAAGAAAAAGTGTTTTCCCGAGAAATTTTGGTGCAGTCGATTTTTGGTAAAAAAGGAAGGTATACACTGCCTTTTTTTGAGCCCCGAAAAAAAAATGTCTCGGATCGACCCGGAA